TTTGTGTATTGGTGGTCCAGCTCTAAGTTAAAGGGGAAGTTATTGGAATGTCTGGTGACTGAGAACATGCTGATGCCATTTTTTTCTCTTTGTATGTTTCAAGGTTTCTATCTTCACTTAGTAAAAGAGGTTCACAAAGCCAAGCATCTAAAGGAGTTGATTTTGAGTCAGATGAGGTATGGTATATAGTACTATTTTTTAGTTTTATTACACTACCTGCATAATTATCAAAAATAAGGCTAGAAGAGACCTCAGAAAACTATCCAGTCCTTTTTCCCTTCAGTTTTTAATCAGTGAATTGTCATTACTGAAATGTGAACCTGGAATTGCCTGGGAGAGAAAGTAATTATAATTTCTTCTAGTCCTTAGCTGTATCCTTTCATTTAGTTATGTAGTCTATTCTTGTAAAAAGGAAGATTTTTTTGTTTGTTTGTTTGTTTGTTTTGAGTTTTTTGTATTCAGAAATGGCACTTTTCCAGAGTATTTTTTGTTGCAAATTATCTAAGTACTTAGTACACTTTTTAAAAAATTTAAAACACTCTCTTCAAGTCCAATATGTCTGTTCTTGCTGTATATCTTTGAACTGGTAGGAAATGGTTTCTTCCACAATTAAACAAGTATAACTTTTTACACAGTTTTGCACTGAATAGAAGACACTCTATTCTGTCAAGCACTGTGCAGTGTTTTCATAGTCTGTCATGCAAGGTTAGAATCCATTCCTTAACAGTGTCAGATTATGGCCACTTCTGAGAAAATACTATTTTCTTGTTCTTCTCCCCACTGTGCTATCTCTTCTTGTACTTTAAAAAAAAAAAAAAAAGAAATAAAAACATGTAGGAAATAAAATCCTACATGTTTGCTTGAATATGCAAAAAGAAACAGTATTTTTTGATTCATACAAATATCAGTAAATTGTGGTGTGCAATGTATATATAGACATAATTTTACTTAGGTATGTGCTTCACATTTACAACAAATATAGATTGTTCCTTCTTTCAAAGCATCGGGTCATATTGACATAAACGTCACATGGACTTTTGAGTCAATAAATGACCTCTTTCATATCAAAACCAACAAAAACTGGTCTGTCAGAAAACATGACGAGGCTTTCTAGATTATTCTAAAGGTGACTTAGTTTTTTTATGACTTGAAATACCTGCTAGTTTTAGTAATGTGTATCTCTTTAAAAATTTCAGGATGATCCATTCATGAGCCCTGCAACATCAAGAAGATCTAAGTGATTTCTGGCTCACTATGCAAGAGAGACTGTATAAGTTTGTGAAGAAAATGGAAAGCAGTTTATGTGATATTTCTCTGTAAATGATGACTTGCCTTCCATTTTCACTTCTGTGAAATGGTTTGGTTTGAGTTTGTTGGTTTTTTTCAGTGGCACCAAATTTGGTATAATGTCTGTTACATTGCTTGATGTGCTAGTCTAGAAGGTTCTGAAGTACTGCCTGAAAGTGCAAGTTCTTTCTAAAAATTTGAAACTGTTTTCTTATTGGGATGATAATAAAAATGACACTTATATCTTTTCTATAAAACTCCCGTCTTTTTGGTTTGAATTTTGCAGAGAAATAAATTTATAATAGTCTGCAGGTACGAATATGGATGCAGTCTCAGCATATTGGAACTTGTATTTACTTGCAATTTGCTGTGAATACAGTTGAAAATTCTGAATTCAGAGTCGAAGTTGGACACAAGAATACAGTTTTTCAGTATTGAAGCTGTAAAATGTCTTAATGACTTCAATTCTACCAAGAGAACTTAAACCCAGTATTGCTCTCTTATTAAACATCATAGTATGTGGAATGAATTCAGCTCTGTAATTCAAGAAGTGCAAAAGGAGACTGTATTTTGATGTTACAAACATAGTAGGAAAAGATTTTAGCTGAGTGTATATGAATCATAGGAATCATATCAAAGGCTCTTTCTCCCCTTTCACAATTTTTTTTTTCAGTCAGCTGTCAAATTCACAGTGGCTTTGTCTTTTATCTATGGAAGATAAACATAGCAGCCTTCACTTCAGGGGAAAACGTGTAACTGGTGTGTGGAGAAAGACTTTATTGTTAAGAGTTACTTAAATGCTTGGATGTCCTAAATGTTGGTGTGATTGGTTATAGGAGAGGGTAGGATGCTCCAAAAATCAACATGATTTGTCAGAGGTCACACTGGATAGTTTTTGAAAAATCACTTCTCACTCATGTAACTTCAATTCCCCTGCCCCAGAAAAGGTAAAAAATTCATTAAAGCCATGGTAGTGAAAGATTGTTCCCAGGACCAGGGAGAAAAGCATACTGTGCTGTGGATTTAAAAAGAAAAAAAGGCATTATTCCTCTTTTTGAATGCTTCCAGACTTTTTGGCATGTCTAGCTGACTTTTTTATATTCTTGTTACAATCTTTTATTCCCACCAGGCCTGTTTTTCTAATTTGTTATAATCTTGTTAAGTGTACTCTTGCACAGGTATTTTTAATGACTTTTTTATTACCTGAATTCATGGTCCATCTATACAGCTTAATTTCAAACTTTTTTTTCACTTTAGAAATGGCATCATTTCACAGGTACCTTTTATAAAAACCGCATTCAGCATGCCAAATCCTGACATTCCTATGCAGCTGCTTGTTTTACTGTTGGAGTGCTGGGGATTGTTGAACAAGGGTGAAGCTGGCAGGAGCAGGTACCAAGCTGCCAAATCTGCTATAGCCTCTTCTCTAGTAACAACTAAACGTAGGTGAGCTGCTTAAACAGCTCAAACAGGAGCATGTTTTAAATGCAAATTAAATCAGAAAGGTGATGTGAAGCAGAGAAAGACACACCAGCAACATATGAGACACCTGTCACAGAGAGCTTCCCCTGGGATTTTCCATGATCCTTTGTGGGTATTTTGGGTGTATTTGCCCAGTGTGTGGTTGGACTATCTCCTTTGGATCACAAGACACAGAATACAGCTCAGAGGAGGGTGGGCTTGAGCTGTGTGTGGGGGAGATTCCCATCCTACCAGCAGCCTGGCTTAGGAGGTGAGAAGATATCCTGCTCTCCTGGATGCACCTAGTCTTCAAAACAATGGCAGCCCTAGCAACATATGCAAGGGTACACTGCTAGAAATTAAGAATTAGATCAAGGAGGATAAATAAACAAAGCAGCTAATTTTTGCTGGAATACAGATTATAGTACAGGAGAACAGGATGTAATAGATGTGAAACAATAAGAGCTGGTGTTTGAGTGGCAGAAAACAGAATGCCCCTATGCACTGGCCAGCAGCACTGGAAAGGAGAGGGACTTGGGAGCTGCTGGAGCAGCTTAGCAAGCAGGGGGACATATGCCACTGACCCCACTGTTCTCAGCCCAAGCCTATAAGAGCACTGCTCTGTTCTAATTTCTACTATTTTCTTGGGCCTTTATTTGAGACTGGTTTCCTGACAGTGCTTCTGAGTGGGACATGTTTCTTCTCTCTGAACGATCAGATGTGACTGCCACCTTAGCAACTCGAGCAGATTCACTGGAAAGCTTTCTCTGAGACAGGTGAATTGCCTAAAGAGCTCAAATTGGACAATTTTGTGGAAGACTGGCAGCAGTGTACAGAGTAGCACTGTGGTCTGTCCATTCTGCTTGTCCTACTGTGTCCAACACCTGAGGAGTGGTGAAGAGAAGGCAGCCCGAGCAGTTCACTGAGACAGTCACAAACATCTTTTGGAAGAGTTTTCCCCAGTGAGTGACCAGCTTATAATACAATCTTTTCAGATAATGGTCATTTAATTAATGGTTAAATAAAGCCTTTTATATATAAAACCAGCTAGTGTTAGTTTACACCACCCAAGCAGATCTGTCCTCAGCAGAGGTGCAGCACTGTACATGTGCACTTGGGAAGTGGCACATCTTTTGGTGTAATATTTATGGGTGTTGATTTCCTGGTCCTGATTTTCTATTTCCTGCTGTGTTTGGTGGGGAAGGCAGAGGGAGCACACATGCTGCCATTTCATCAGTGCTTGGGACCAGCATACAGCTGCCTTTTGCTTTGGATACTGGACTCACTGGGCTTGGACATTTCTTGTTCTCTGTCCTGTATAATCACATCTTTGCAACTACCTCTATTTCTACAAATCCTAGAAGGCAGTTTCACATCAGGTTTTTATTTCTTTGGCTGAGAGAAGACACCTGCCTAGGGAAAACTTGAGTATTCCATGTTTCTCTGAGAGAAAAAAGGTCTTTGGAAAAATACTGTAAGTACAATAAGGCAGCTTGTTATTTACAGTTCATCTGTTGCATTCTATCCTATCCTATCCTATCCTATCCTATCCTATCCTATCCTATCCTATCCTATCCTATCCTATCCTATCCTATCCTATCCTATCCTATCC